GGTGCGGTTGAGGGTGTGGGTGTGGGTGTGGGTGTGGGGTGTGGGTGTGTGTGTTGGTTTGTGGGTATGATGTGGCTGGGTGATAAGACGGCGATGAGATACTATCGCACTCATACACACACCCTACAATATAGCCATGGATAAGGGTGTGGGGTGTGGGTAAGATTAAAGATAAGTTTAGGAAACTCTCACACCCTCACACACCCAAAAGTCAAGAAATGAAAGCACTGCTTAATGATGCTCCTAGAGTAAGATTGAACTTGAATATTATAAGCCTTCAATCTGTGAATATTGAAGTAGTTAAATGTTTATTTCTTGATTAAATGAAAAGAGTATAAGAAAAATCACACACAAGAAATTGAAGGTATTCTATAGTTTAGTTTGTTTCGGTTACATAAATTCACTGGCAATAATCGTGTTGACTTGTTGCATAACTTCGCTCAATAATGATGATGTATCGGCTTGATTCAATTTGACTCGTTTAACTTGAGCTTCTTTTTTATCATCTCGATATATTTTTTCAATGTTTTCTATCATCGTTTGAACATTAGCAGTGAAATCAGAGAGTAATAGAAATATTCCACGATCCTTGATTTTATTGATAAGATCGGCCATCAAAGGAACATCGGGTAAACCGCCTGGGTAGCTATCACCAGCACCACCACTACAGAATGGCGTATGGCCAGGAGCGTCACCGAGCCAAACTAATATCTGTGCTGCACGTGAACTCTTGTCCTTTGCCCAACTTAATTGTAATGCTTTTTCTAAGCCACCTTGAACATCTTCACATTCATCGGCACCACCGCTAGCTCGCTGACTTGCAATTTTAGCTTCAACTGGTCCGATGTTAGGTGTTTGATGGAAATCAATTAAATCAAAACGATTTGAATCCGTATAATCACGATAAGCAACAAATGCCATACGTAAAACACTATCTTTATCATATTTTTCTTTCATATCTTTTTGTATTCCATCAGCAATAGCTTTAATATGTTGTTTACATGCTTGAATCCAACTTCCCATTGAACCTGTACAATCCAAAACGAAACAAATTTCAACTGTCAATGGTGAATTGTGAACACTATTGGAAAATGTTAAATCAATACTACGTTTTGCATTTTGTGTAATCGCATCAAAATGCGTCTTCATTTCTTCAGTCCATACTTGATCTGTCGTTGAATACGTTTTACCACCTTCTCCTCGGATTTCTGATGTTTTATCTGCATGAAAGGAATCATAAGGTTTTTCTCCATCACTTTGTTCATTCGACCAACTAACAAGTGCATCACAAAGTAAACGTGGATTTTGTGCAATAATCCAATCATTGAATGCTAAAGAAACACCATTCGATTCTAAACCAATACCAATTCCAATAACAGTTACTGAACGTTGTTCAGCATAAGCAATAACATTTTGTATAAAACTACCTCGTTTATCATAACCATCGGTGAGAACAAAAATAAACATTGGTCCATGGTTATTATTATATGATGCTTGCTGTTGTAATAATTCAGTCGCTGCAAATATAGCATCACTTAATAAAGTTGTTTCACCATCAATTTTTAGTGAATTTAGAAGGTGATGTACAAATAAACGATCGTATTTTTGTTTATAACTTTTAACTAATTCTATTTGTTTTCCAAATGTTAAAACATTGAAATCTTCAATACCAATTTTATTCAATGCTGCACAAATGGAAATTAAAATATCTACAGATGAAAAATACGTAGGACCAGTCATGGAAACAGATTGATCAAGAAGTATTGCAATACGATATTCGGGTTTTTGTGAACCGATTTGATTTAAATAGATTCGATTGTATTGTCCTTGTGTACAAATAAATTTAACAATACCCGGTATATATAATCGACTTCCTCGCGTATCTGGTAATGATTGTGTTGGTTTATATGCTGGAAGAACATAATCTTCCATGGTACGTACTAATTCACCAATATATATTTCAAGTTGTTGCTCGATTTGTTGAAGAGTTTTATCTGTTTGTGTGAGTATAGCATCATGTGTGTCTAAATTCGAATAACTTTTCTCGAGTGCATCTAGTGTGTCATCGAAATTTTTAATAAATTCATCTGAAGAAGATGTAAAATCGATATTTATTTGTTGTTGAAATGTTTGTCGTTCAAGTTTTTCTCTAAAATCATTTACATAAAATTGACCGGTATGAGAAATCTCAGGATGTTTCCATAATTCAACATCTTTAACATGAGATAGAATAAATGAATTCAATGGATGAAATTTAGTTGCAGTTTTTGCGGTTGATGCATCGGATGCTTTTGACGTATCAAGAGTTCGATTACCATGAAGAGCAATCGATTGTTGGATCATATGGAAAAGATCATCGACAACTGTTTTCGTTAAAGTATCCAGTTGTCCAGTTTCAATAAGTCGATTTCGATCTGGTGCTATACGTTGTATGAATTCTTTAGCCTTTTTCTCATGTTCAATAGCAAATTGTCTATACTCATTTGAAAATTTTGTATCATTAGGTTTTGGCAATTCTGGAATAATACAAACCATATAAAGTTCGGCTTTTGCAAGATTTAATTGATTCGTGAACAATTCAGTTTCATTTTGAGATGAAATACCATCGGTAATCATAATAATAAATCGTTTGACATTTGGTTTAATTGGACTTTTATATAAATCTTTATGTGTAGCAATTTGTTTCAATGCTGTTGCTGGTAGTGTTTTTTCATCAGTTGTAAACGATTCAAGAATGTATTGCCCACGTGCTAGTACTGATTGTTGAAGACTTTGAGTAGTGTTTATTGTTGAATCAGTTGTCGATACCAAGCTATGCATTGATTCATGACCGAGTGGTTTAAGTATTTTTTGTTCGGCACCAAATCGAACAACACCAAATTTCCATTCAAGCCGATGAAATGTTTCAAGAAGAATAACTAATGTATTTAATGCTTCACGTATTTTCTTACCACTCATACTTCCACTATTATCAACACAGAAAATAAATTCAAATTGCAAATCATCATTAGCTGTTGTTTGTTGTTTTTCGTATTGCTCTTTTAATGCTGAACGTAAGCGAGTTAATAACATTAATTGAATATTTCGCGTAAGACGAGCTAATATAGCATATCGTGGTTTATCCAATGCTGTTTCTGGTAAATGCTCTGGGTCACAATGTTCAGTAATAGTTCCAATACCACATTTATTAGCAGATTGTAAAAGACTGGCATACATGTCGGCTGATCGCTTTTGAAGGAGTTCTAATTGTTGTTTACTGATAGTTACTTTTGGGCTCCCTTTTTCTGGTGGCATTTTATCTAGTGGTGGACTTCCATCTTTACTGTGACCAAATTCCACACGGATAACTCCAGGTGGTTTAGTGTCTCCTTTGAATGTTGATAAATTTTCTGGTCCATCTTTTGTCACTTCTTCGCGATCATCAATCTCTAGGACTACGTCACGGTTAGCAGTTGTTCGACGCTCCGCTCGCGATGTAGATGAATCTTTATTTTTTTCTGTGTCTTCATTATTTTCATCGAGAGCTGCGTTCAAATCACTGTCGTAATTTGCCAGAAGATTATCGAGACGAATACCTAACTTGTGTAATATTGGATCACCCATTATTTCACCTTGTTCAAATTTTGAATCTTCAAATCCTTGTAAGAGCTGTTTAATATTATCCAAATTTGTTGGCTGGTGTTGACCTTGTCCTTGATAATTCAAATCCGAGCCATGACCATCTTCGGGTATATCATAATCATCCACTAATTCATTTTTCTTACTGAGTTTCCACGATTTACGCAAGGATTCTGATGCACTTAATTTATCCAAAACTTGTATTAAGTCTCTTTGTATTTCTTGACATTTTCGTTTTATATGACCATCGATATCACCTGAACAGGATTCAATGAACTCCAATGATTGATATAATTGTAACGATGTTTGAATAACCTTGGGTAAGGTCGTTTTGGCTAGGCTATCTATTTCTCTTCGCATATTGTTTGCTGCCATCTGCTGAATAGCATTCATAGTTGCTTGAATTTTATTGTTAATTTTAGTAGCTGTTGCTAAACATGTGATTGTTTCTGGTAACAATAATTCGTCTTGTTTAACTATATTTGATACTTGTGCTTCTGATTCTTCATTCAATTTAGCTGCGTCTGATGCGAGTGTTTCTATTTTGTTTTTTGCTGCTTCTGTTACCTCTGCACTTGTTTCATCCATCAATGAAGGACTTGCTGGAACAGCAGACTCATACGATATTGATTCTGTGGCTTCAAAGGTACCGCTCGCTCCAATACTACCTCCCCTGGCGCTACTGCTACTACCACCACTACCTTTCCCGGTACTTGTACTGGCATTACCACTACCTCCACCGCTTGCTCTGGTGCCACTGCTACCTCCACTACTTGCACTAGGCCTAGTGCTTCCACCACCACCTTTTCCGATACGTGAACTAGCAACAACCCTACCTCCGCTGCTTGTACTACCTTTGCCGGTGCTTGCACTAGTACCGCTGCCTCCACCAGCACCACCAGCACCACCACAATTACCTCCTCTACTGTTGGCCCTCGCACCACCACTTCCTCCACTGCTGTTTCCATTTCTGCCACATCCACCAGCACCAGCACTACTTGCACTACTTCCTCCTTTACCACTGGTGCTGACACCGTCGCTGCCACCACTGCATCCACTTCCCATTTCACTAGATAGCTTGAAGACAGAGAACACTAAGCCAATTCCTGCTAATACAAGTCCAACTGGGTTTGCAGCGGCTAATAGCATAGCAATTCCACTAATTATATCAATAGCTGTTTTGACAGATTCTGGCAAATTAGGTATAAGTTCACTGAGCAATGCTAATACAGTCGATGTAATTGAACTAATTTGCGCCACTTTCGAAGATAGTGTTGTTGCTTTCATAAGAGCTGACACGCCTTGTTGAATTTGACGCAGATTTTTGTAGACAGCTTTAGCTTTTTGAACGATATTGACTACTTCTTTATTGACACCCATGGCAGTCATCGCAGTATCAATAAGATCGAGATATTGGCCACCCGACAGACGCTTTCCATTTATTAATGCTGACACTAAAGGTTTAGCACCATTAAGTATTTGCTGCCCTTTTTCACCAATGTGGGAACCAGCAATATCAATAATGTCTTCATAACTAATCTTCTCATTGTTAAGTTTTTTGCGTAATGCCGGTATGACTGGTTGAATAATATTATTTACTTCTGGCGGAAGAAAAGTAGCAGCGACATTTAATGACTGATCTAATATTTTTTGTGGATCATCAGAACGAATTGCATCGATTAAATTAACGACTCCATTTACCTTCTCGGCATGTTCTGGCGGTAAAAATGATGCACCTAATTGTAATGCACACTTCGCGAGTCGTTCTTTTGCCATATCCTTGTGGTCAATGATTGTTCGTAGCTCTTGAGCTATACCATAGACTTTTTGAATTTCTGGAGGTAAGTGCGACTTTAATTTATTATTATTCAAAAGACTATTCAATGCTTGTAAAGGATCATTTGTGTCTGATAGAATTTGAGCGGTTGAATTTGCAATCTCCATAGCAGTATCAATTTTTGTAGCATATTCAGGAAAGAATTCATTTGCAATGGAATGAACTGCACCATGAATATCGCGATTTTGTATTTGATTGATAACATTTCGCGTTGTACCTAATGTTTTTGCTGTTTTCTCACCAACAATATTCATTGTTGCATCAAATGCACAACCAAGTACATTTTCTGTTGTTATCTCTTGTTTTGATAATTTTGTTAATGATTCTATTACATTATGAGCTTGTTCTGGAACAAATGGAATGAGTTGAAGTGCATCTTTAACAGCATCAATTTCTTGATGATTGGCTATTTTCGCATAAACATTACCGACAGTTTCAAATGTTTCAGACATCTTTTTTGGTGCTATGATAGATGCCAATTCTAATGTTGTTTTAACAACATCTGTTATGCCACATGTTTCTAATTCATTGATATGTTCGAGAGTATCAAAAATTGTGTGTGCACGTTCATTTGGTACTAATTTTAATAGGTGTTTCAAGGCTTGTAATTTGTCTGTTTTCAATGAGGCCAAAGCATCAAAGGCGACTTTTAAAGTATTTGCTGTTTCTCGATCGTATAATTCAGACACTTTCTTAATTATTTGCTCTTGTGATATTTTTGATGATGACATTTGTTCAATACCAAAATTAAATCCAAGTCGAAGTCCGTCAGGAAGTAGAGCTGAAATGGATTTTAGCGCTTTTGCCGGTTCAGACATGCCTTGATCAATTATTTTGTTTAGACTAATTTCACTGACATCTGATAATTCTTCACTGATTATTTGCTGTGCTAATTCCATCACGGATTGTTTGATATTACCATTAAGTATCTCTGGTGCCGTTAAAAAGATACATTTAACATGTTCCGATAAATGTTGATCTGGTATAATATCAAGAAGTTCAACAACAGTGCCCATAGTTACATTTTTAGTAGTATTCAATCTGTTTAATACATTTGAAATTGGTCGTAAAACTTGTTTTGCAGTTTCATCAGGAATACATTCGATGGTTTGTTCAATTAATGTTGACATATTTGATCGAGTTAATTCACCATTCATCATTAGTATTAAATTTTGATAAGATTCTAATAATGTATTAAGATGATTAAGAGTCGTACGTCCATCGATACCGTCATTCACACGTCTAGTTAACTGAATACCTAATTCTAATACTTCTAATTGTGTCATTGTCACTGTACCAATATTCGACATGATTTGTATGAATGCACTGTTCGCTTTTTGTTCGGTATCTTCAGGATGCATTAAATCGCATAGTTCAGAAACATTTTGCATTATTCCAAGAATATTACTTTTTTGAACGTCGGATAATATAGCTGTTAGATTATTATGTAGTTTCTTATGTTCAGTTAGTTTCAACTCTTCTAGAAAAGACTGTTCAAGTGTCGTAAGAAATGTGGCAGCTGAAGTTGACGAAAGACGTCCTGAGCGAGATGTTGCTAATTTTTCTCGAATAATCTTGATCCATGTAGTTTGTGTTGATTTCAATCGACGACAATTATATGTGATTGATAATGTTGTTTCGAAAAGATCAAATGGATCTTTTTGTTCGTTCAATTTTTTCAAGTCCAATGATAAAGTTCGACAACGATCATTACCAAAATTTAACATTGCTGAAATGATATTAATATAAGTTTGATTGTTACAAATAGATGTTCGATCTATTAATAGAACGATAGTTAGAACAGTTCTTAATGAATCAACAATTGTTGAATCAAGATGTAGGTTGAGTGTTGCACATAGGTCTTCAATAAATTTAGACCAATCACAACTACGATCTGCTAGTTTTTTGACTCCATTTGTTAAATTTGAAATAAGACGTTGAAAACCACGAATAGTTTCTCGTTCTTTCGAATCTAACTCTGATGATAACGAAGCAACAACGTATGGTAATGTCGTTATGTCTTTCACTGATGGTTGATAATCATCGTGCGAAAATTTCTCACTTAATTTCATAAGTTCAACAGCATTCTTTGTTTCATCGGAATCACCTACATTTGTTTGAAGAAAATCAAACAGCGAACTAACTGAGAGTGAATTTTCTGAAGCTGAAATTGCTTGTGTAACAAGTTCAGTATCAGCTAACAATACGCATGATTCGTATAATTTTTGTAAAATAATCTTTTCATTAACTGGTTTTTCATTCGATGCCAATTGCAAGATTTGATCGAGAAAATCTAGTGAATTATGATTTGTTTCAGTTGTCATTTCAGGTAAAAAATTACTGAATGCTTGTTCAGTATGACCGTTTTCCTCGATATTTTGTACAGTGCCGGCGACTTTATCAGTTAACATTCTGATTGATTGTTTCTCTTTACTTTTCAATTTTTTATTTTGATTCATAATCAATTCTGTCGTATAGTCGAGTAGGCGTTTTTTAGCTGTGTGATCGTTGTTATTTTTTTCGAAAGAATGTTTTTCGTATTCTAATAAACGTCCTAAAATTTGTTCACTACTATTTCGTGATTGTTCTTCAAAAAGGACCGATAATTTTTCAGCACATTCCAGAGGTAATAACATATTTTCTGAATCACTCTTATGTGGTGAACCAATCATGGCCGGTGCTAGCTGTTCATTTAATATTGTGTCGATATTTTTGTATAATTCACTCAAGTGTTTTCGTGAAAATGAATCAAATGTTTGTTTAACACTTTCCTGAATCGCATTTGTATATGAGGATATTTCATGCTCATCGGATTCAAGACTCGATAAAATTTGGTCGCATGCTAAATTTTCTGGAATGTCGGAACGTTTAGGTTCGTGATGTGTTAATTCATCTAGTTGAGTAATGATTGGAGCAATAGCAGTTGTTGCACGTTGTCGATATGAATTACTATCATCTTCAAGTAATTTCATCAGTCGTTGTCCAGTTGTTGACTGTGAAATTTGTTGTGATGATGGTGGAAGATCAATTGGTGAAGGTGATCCCTTCAATTCATCTTTTGATTTGACTCGACCAGTAACTATCAGTTTGTATTTCTTTAAAATACCTGTTGCCGATCGAATTGTTAGTGGCACATCTATCTTGAAATCCCCTAATGGTGCATTTTTTTTAATCTCTACAATACATTTAATCAGTATCGAATTAGTCGGCGGTATGGCAACGCTTTTGTCATTACTACTGATTTTGAAAGAAATTACTTCATCATCATAAGACTCGCATTCCAACTGAGCACGTAAATATCCATCATTTATTATTATTATTGTGAATGGTGGAAGTCTTGTAAGTGATGTTGTTGTACCACAATGCAGAATATTTTGATCAATAGTGATAACAGGTGCCAAACGTTTACAATGAAATGGAATACGTTGAATTTCTTCTTTACAATTCGTTTTAAGTACAAATTCACAATCAAATGAAGCTAATTTCTTTTGAACTTTGTAAATAAAATGATATTCGATCTTTTGACGAGGTAATATCGAACGGGGATACGGATTAGAATCATCGATTGAAATATGGGAAGATGTTGAATGTAATTCATCGATTAACATTTCAACTAGACCTATATTGAATAGAACGATTTGACCTTCTTTTTCATTCATATCTTCTTTTACTTCCAATGTTTTCCAAGGTTTTAATAATTCTTTATCTAATTCTGGCCACCCAGCTGATGTTTTCAATATTAATTTAAACGATGGTCGTTGGGTTGCATCAGGAAACACTAGATTAATAATGTTGTCCAGAGTCGAGTGTGCTTTATTCACTTGTAATTCCATTTTTAATGTAATAGATGCATTTGGTTCTAGAGCGGTATGATTCTGTGATAAACTAGTAATAACTGCACCTGTTGGCATATTTTCTGTTTTCGATTTCATAGTCATTTTGACTTCGCCCGTGTTGCGTATTATCAATTCTTCGTAAATAGTTGTATTAGGAAGACATGGCGGTAAATCAGTACGATATTGTTTTTCTGTTAAACGTATTGAATTATACATAATATCATAGGATATCCTTCGTATTTTACCCAAACAAATAATTCGATATTTGAAATCTTTACTAAAGTAGATTTCATAGATACATTTAGAATCTTGAATTGCATCTTGAATATGCCAATCGATAGTTAAAACTTTTGATTCATAAGCAAATAGGAAAAAGTTCATTTGTTTACTATCAATATCAAATTTACCAGTTGCACCATTTTCTCGGCGTAGTTTAACTCGAAGATCAAGTGACATTGGATTTTCAATTGTAAATTGATGCGACTTTTGCGAACGAGGGCATGCAATAACTGTACCGAAATTAATTTCAAATGTTTCTATTTGATTTGGGGAGTGATCCTCATTTTTTGTTTCCATTAATGGTAAATCAATATCAACATAAAATTCTTTTACTTCACAACAAAGTTTTACCACAATACATAATCGTTTATTTGCTAATTTCAATTGCCATTCTTCTCGATATTTTCCTTCATTCACTTCACTATTAGGAATTATGTTGAGGTTATTCGAATCATGTGGTTCAATAACTGATAATGAATGATTTATAGTAAATACCGACAGAGAACGTTCTTGTGATATAGATAATATTTCAAAATCAATTTCATCATCAGTATTATTGATGATTTCAAGTGTTTTTGTTTTGAGTTGTGCATAAGACCAATTTTGAATAATTTGCTCAAATTGTATGATTATTGATGACTGTGATAGAAAATATTCACCATCCTGCTTATGTATTGTTATTTTATTATTTGATGGTGAACCAGTCGACTTTACGAGTGCCTTAACATTAACTGCTTTGCTGATTTCAGTTAGATTCGTTATACGTTGTGCTTGTTGATGTGTTGAACGGATTTGTTTCTTTCGTTCATGCATTTGAGTAATAGTTTCTTCAATAATTCGTCGACATGCATCAAGTTGTTTCTCACCGATTAATATCTGTTGATCTTTTTGAAGCCAATACTGTTTTATTGCTTCAATTTGATTATGAGCTTGTTCAAAATGTTCTTTTGTTTCGAGTGAGTAAACAATCAGTTGGATGAAATTCAATTCAGCTGATATCAAAAAACGGTATATAAGCATACCGAAGGTCAATTCTTTTTGAGCTAATGAACTTCCATCACTAAGTAATGTATTCATTTGATTTGTATAGAGTTTATCGATTGCTTCTTTGTATATCGCACCTTCATGGTCGGACAATTGTACACGAAAACCCTTCAGTTTTAAATCATCAAGTATTCTGTTTAATGTTTGTTGAAATTCTTGACCAGATTGGAGACTTTTTTGTATTTTTATCGATGTATTATGTAGGTCCAAAAGAGTGGCTGCTAATTTATCGAAACGAAAAGTCTCTTTGAAGATATTTATTCCTTGTTTTAAATCATCAGCTGAATCAAATCTTCGGACGATACCGTGTTCAATTTTATCGAGTTCATTATCATTAATACTACTATTCAGCATATCTATTGCTTGAGTAATTATTGTCTTTAATTGTTCGTGTTTCGATGGAAGTTGAGTCATTAGATGATGATGTGTAGGTGGTATTGTTACATCCAATTTTTGAGTATCTACTCTCATTGCAGCTGCTGGTACATCATCTTTTACTGCTTCAGGAGGTATATCTTTGAGAGAGGGCTCTCGTGGCATGTCGTATTCATTTGATTTTTTAGATTCGATCTCTGCACATTTAATTCTGAGATCCTCTAACCATTTTTCAAGGCCTATTTTTCGTTCAAAAGAAGTGAATTCTTGATATTGTATTCGTAAAGCAAGAAATGGATCTCCGCTTACAACTGTTTCTGTTTCTTCAGTTGTAGTGACTGATCCAATTGTCATTTTTAAAATATGTTCGGCAGGTATTCCAAAGATACTGATATTGATATTTGGCGTGAAATGTAAATTAATTCTACTTTTCCTGTGATATCCGAATTCGTGTGTTTCTTTTTTCACATCGTAGAATGGAGATTTGAGAAGATCCAGAGGTATACGAGCCATCCTCGTAAATTTATCACTACTGGCTTTACCGGCAAATAGTTCTAAGATCCAAGGTTTCGGTGGTGTACCAGAACTATCATCGGATGGTATAAGTATTGTATATGAAAATAAATTCTTCACAGTTTTTGAGCGAAATGTGTGATCCAGTGACTTCGGCACGCCTGGAATTATTATTTCATCATGCTCTTCTTGAACAAGTCGAACTAGACTGTCCCAGTCGTTTGGAAGTGTTCCTTTTGTATGTGGAGGTGTATTATCTATATATTCTACTTCTTTAACTTCAATACGAATTGATTCTATGCGAATCATATTCATTAATTCTTTGCCTTCTCTGTCATTGTCTAATCGACATTGGTTTGGAATTAATTGTTGAATTCTAAGTAATTGTCTTACAACTTGTATAGTATCACCAAGTATTGTCTCAGCATTTTCAATCTCAAATTTATTTGTTTTAAACTTTGATTCATGTAAGAGTTGTCCAATGAGTTTGACTCCATTAAATATATCAAATGTGAGTTGTTTTGTATGCTGAATTTTTTCCTGAACTTGTCGACATTGTAAATCATACTCATCCTGTGAACGTTTATTTTCTTCTTGAATTGTTCGCACTCTGCTCCAGTATCGATCGAGTAATTGTTTCATCAACGATTCATTGATTTTTTTCCGTTGTAATAATAAGAGATTAATCTCCTTATTCCAAGTCTCAGTTATTAATTGACTTTGCGATAAATTTGGCAACGAAACGTTACGAACTGTTTTACTCAATTCAGTTTTTAGATCTTTTAAATTTATTGTCGACATTCGTAATAATTCATAACGAAGCAATCTAGTCAATCGAATAAGATAAACAATCACAGGTTCATCATTTAGCATTTCTATTCTTAGGTATTTCTCTTTCAATTGGCCAATTGTTTGCTTTAAAAATATAAATATTTGTTCTCCTTCATCATTTAATAATTTGAAAACAAATGAATAACGTAATCTTTTTGATGTTGAATCATGGTCCCCATTGGACGGTGCAGCAAATGCACGAAGGATCTTTGACGCTTGTAACCAACCTTGGATAAGAAATTGTGCTAATTGGTTGTACCAATCAATTTGTTCATCGATATTTTCAATATGTCGAAATAGACGAATTAAATTTGCTTTAGATAATGTTTCAAGTAAATGAATATCTTCAAAATTTACACGAGTTTTTATAGTATTACTATATTCTTGCTGTAAGAGATCTATTTGTTTTTGTTGCTGTTGGTGAAGTAATTGAACAAAGCATAAAATGAATTGATCCACAAAACTTTCTAATACAGGTCCTATATAACTTAATGGTTCGATTAGTTTCTTTCGTTCATCAAATAAGAATTTGATAAATTGAAGCCCTTGTTCTAATAATAGATCTAAATGATCTTTATGAATATAATTTAGGAACTCGGTATGCATTGTGTCCAATGATAATGAACATGATAAATGAATAGCACGTGTTAAATTTTCAAGAAATGGTTGTAAATTTTTTACTGTTTCATGTTCCAATGTATCTGTAGGATTTTCAAGAATTTTTAATATTAAACATTGAGTATTGTTAGCGAGAACATTTAAATTATAACTAACTTGTACCAATGGATATGTCTTCGATGTTGGTTCTGTGACACGCCCACCATCATTCCAATCACCAATTTGTAGAAGATCTCTCATTTTCCGTTCTATATTATTGATCATGGCTGCTGGATTGTAACATATTTCACTGAATGCATGTGTATATCGAAGTTTCAAACTATGCTGTAAGATTGGAAAATCAAACGATAGAGATTTATGAGTTTCCTTCAATGAATACTCATCAGCAGGAAAAGCTGTACCTGGCAAATCTGAACGTTCACGATATCCACTAAGAATTATTAATCCTTTCATATGATCATCCCATTCGTATGAATGATCATCGATTTTAATTTGCATTGTTTTCAATTGTGCAAATATTAATGGGTTTATTTGTTTAGTTTTAAATAATTGAACAAGAAAAATTGCGATACGTGCATATAGACTAGCACAATATTGTAATAAAATCGAGAGTACCTTTGATGAATAAACCACACGTGCAGTATTAGCAAACTTATCAATGTGAAAAGCAGTTCGACTAAGTTTTTGTACTGTTTGATGAACTATTTCCATATTTGTAGAAATTAATGTGATATGTGTTGCATTAATAATCGGTTCGATAATATCTAGTGACTCAAAAATGAGTGTATTTGTTTGATTTATCATAGTGTCCATTTGTTGTATGTATAAATTACGTTGACTGTTGACATCATGTAGCCAATTTTGTATGGAATTTAATAATTGAGTATGTATTAATTTGTAAGTAAGAAGACAATTATGAAATATTTTATATAAACTGTTGTCTGATTGAAGCCATAAAAGAGCTTTTTGATAATCATCATAATATTGTGTCAGTTCTCGAGTGAGTTGTTTAATAAATACTTGAACACGAGATTTTACTTGTTCAAATTGTGGTTTTTCAAATTTTAGTAAAGCTATTTTCAACTGAAATAAATATGCATAAAATTCACTGGATGTGTAAACGTGTCGTATTTCTTGAGATTCCGTTCCTTCACGTTTTCGATTTTCGATTTTTTCAATTATTTCTAATGGTAAATAATTTCCTTTGACTTGTAATTTCCGATTTATTTCTAATAATTGACGTATTTGTTCGTTGGCTACAGCATTCAATTGAATTTGATAGTCTCGTTCAACTTGGTTGCATTCATGTCTAGCCGCTTCAGCATTGCTTTCCAATTCTTCTCGTCTATTACTGTTAGATGATAATCCCTCGAGTATTTTTTCAGCTGCTACTTTTCTAGATCTACATCTATTAAGATCTTGTCCGTAGTGAGACACAATTAAATCGGAAAATTTCAAATAGTTTGTAGCCATGGTAGTCCCAGTATTGTTTAATTTATCTTTGAATCTAGATAGATTATCTTTCATCTCATCGAATAAATTACTCAAGAATGATTGTATTTCACATGCAAAAAATGAATGATATTCGTTGCTTTCGAATAGTTGATAAAACCAATGCTTACGTATATCTTCGATTCTTGCAGCTGTTGCCATTATTTGAACAACACTCTTCATAGATTCTACGAGTGCTTGACTGGCTGTTTCAGCACTGCTGGAGAGTAACGATATAGATTCACCTGTCTTGCTTTCTAATATGAATCGTTTTGCGTACAATTCTTTAGTCGATGTTCGAAATTCATTGCTACACAAATAAGTTTCCAAGTGATGAACATTTTGAAAATCAAACTTATCTAATTGAAGTGAATTCATGAATAGTATGGGTAATTCAGGAAATAGGAGAGCAATACAATCGGATAATCGAAGATAAGATAATTGAATACCTATCGATTGATTATAATTTGATTGATCATGCAAGATTTGTGCTAGAGTTTTATGTTGCTCATACAATCGAATAAGACGTGGATAAATATGTATCAATTCATATGTTTGATTGTCATGATCATCTGATGAAATCAATACAAGTTTTGATTTATCGCATGGATTTAATTTTTGTAATTGTGCTGATCGTTGTTGAATAGCATTCTCCAATGTTTTTGCTCGAAGTAGTTCTAATTTGGGTGCTGGCAAATGAAATCGTTCAGTTTGATCATGTGCATGCTCTTGACAAAATTGTAATAATTCTTTACATATTTCGGCTAATGAGGTCGAATCAAGAAAGATAAATATGGCCATTAAATTTTTTAAATTATCAATAATCGATTGAGCAGATAAATTTTGTTCGGCTGGTAGACAAAACTCATAGATCAATTTTTCAACATTTGCCCACATTGATTCAAATGTTTGCTGATGAAAATAATCAGTTAGAAATTCTAATGCCGATTCTTTCTCCGAACATTTTTCATCAGTTAAAGATTTTACTAAATCCAAAAGATGACGTCGATCATCGTCTGAAAATCGATACTCGGTTTGACTTGGATGTCTTATGGTTTTCTCAAGCATCTCCGGCGTGATCTCCATTGATTTTTCATATTTTACTCGTTTTATATTGAAAATATCTGTTTTTTTATGTTCAATAGATTCACCTGCAATTCGACGTTGTAATTGTTTTGGATAACCTCGCCATTTCAATAAACTTACTTCATGCAATACAGTTTTATTACGTTTTATTTCGTTCAGTTCCATGAGTAACATAACAATTGCATATTGTATTCTCGATAGACCATTCTGTTTAGCCAATTGTTTTAATTGTTCTAATTCAGTTTCAAGTTTCGATAATTCATCATTTTGACGTTCAAGCATAGTTTCTTCTGCATTCTTTTTAACTAATCTTGTTCCTGGCTGATCAATTTTTGCTGGATCCGTTATAACATTGCTATTTCCAGTCGGATCTGTTGCAACATGTTGAATAGCATTTTCTAGTTCAATTCTAGTAAATAGTTTAAAGTTTGCAGTATGTTCTACTGTTAATTCTTCTTCTGTTTTAAACTGTGCATGTGCTACTTGTTTAAGAATTTTATCTTCGAATGATTTAATATTTTCATAGAAATTTTCAACTGATATTGTAAGTCCATATGCATCAATATTATTCATGACAAATTCAACGATTGAAATTAATAATTTTGATATTTGATGTGATTTTTTATAAAGATCGATTTCATTCGTATTTAATCGATGCATTAAAAGGATTTGTAATAATTTTGCTTGTATCATATGTATACGATCGATAAATGTTGAAATAAATGCATGAAATTTTGTTTCAGAATCCGAAAGGTGTGATTTCAAAAGATTTAAAACTGGATAACGGAATTGTTTTCGTTCAACAATAGCCAATGTTCGTGCTTTAGCAATTGGTTCTTTAGGTACACATGTGAGCAAAGTTTCATCTAATTTTTTCTCAATTTTATCAATAATTGGTTTTGTGAGAGTTGTTCTTGCTTTAGTAACGGTTCTAAAAAGTTCTCGAATATTAATGCCTGGTGATGCTAATGTTTGTTTTCCAATAATTTCTGATTGTTCAATAATATTTAAGAAAAATGATATATCTTTATGAATATCATTTTCAACTTGATTCTCGTAGATTTGTTGTTCAGCTCGAATTGTACCTGCTAATCGTTGTTCTTGTATCCATCCTTGAATGTCGCGATTCAATTTTTCAATATGATTTGGTTCGATTATTAAATTATCACTGTCATTGATATTTCGATGTTGAAATATTGTTTCAAGTAGACATGGTAAAGCGAAATGAAACATAGTGGGATCAGTTTCAATTTGAATGATTTTTCTTTGAGTATCTATAACAGTATTCATAGATCGTTGCTTTACTTCGGTAATAAAACGATCAGCAAATTGAATAAAAATATCATCAAGTGGTGTTTTATCACTTCCATAATCGATTGCAAAATGTCGAAGAATGAGTTGCTCCTCTAAACGAGCCACTCCAGTTTCATTTGTAGAATATCGATTATATTTACGTTTGTCAACAAGTAAAACATTTGTTAACTGTGCATTGATAAGAATATCTATTTTAGTTTCTGTTTCCAAACATTTATTGATTATTGATGTTAGTTTATCTTCTTTTAAAATATATATTAACATGTTTTGTTGAAATAAATTTGGATAAATAAGTTGCATGATAGTCAGACTCGAACGTCCATGTGATGTGTTTATATCATCGAAATTTATCTGATTAAAAGCAAATTGTCGCAGAACATCAGATTTTAATTGTTTATGTTCTTCATCAATTTTATTCGAAGATGAATAAGTTTGATTTAAATCATATTCTTTTATATAAATTCGTGATATACTTTCAAGTAATTCAGTAATACTATTTTCTTGTCGACGTCGACCATATTCACGTATCGTTTGTAGCCATCCGTTGTCTTGGTATTTTTTTAAACTTTCTCGTAACGGTAAAAATAAAGTATATACATTTTCATTTATACATTCAATCCCTTTCAATGCTGTCGCATGTCTTGCTTTTTTATCTTTTAATTTATTTTCTTCATCGTGAAGCTTAGTTAATTCTTCGTCGACATTAATTGTTTCTTCACTTGATCCGGGCTCGAATAGTCGTTTTCGTCTTACACAAATATTTTCAATTTCATAATCGATATCACTCACATTATCGGCTAATTTTGCTTGTTCCGAATCATATTGATGGCTGATTTTATCGAGTTGACCATGGCATGATACTAGTTCAGTGTAGATATCATGAAGAATCGTATGAATAAAATATAAACAACTTAAACTAGCAAGTAAATTCGAAGAATTTAATAACGTTTGTTGTTCATCCATCTTTTCAATGAATTGCGGTTTAATCATAAAATTCATAGTAAGTTTACATGCAACATTTAATTCTAATTTCGAAGCAGCTAATAAAATATATCTGTCATCTTCCATAACGGATAAATATTGATATAATTTCAACATAATATCTAATCGTTGATCAGCTGAAGAAATAATAGGAACTGATTGTACTTTTTGTAGATGAACATTTATTAATTTTAAAGCTGAATTCGATTCATTCTCATCATCATCAGCATTTATTTGATTACGTTGACGAATTGATTCTTGTGTTTGGGAAACAATATGTAAATCGTTCTTTGCCATTGGTTGACATGGAAAAGCTACCCATTTCATATATGTTTCAGTAATTAAAAGTGTGTTAAGATGCTCTTGAATCTGAGTACACCATTTGAGTGTATTTGATGAATGTGATAATTTGCAAACAAGTTGCAATTTTCTTGATAATGATGAAAGTTGATGAATTGTATTATTGATTTGTTGTAACTCTGTAAGACGATGTTGTGCATCGATAAATGACGTTTCTTGAGCGAATTCAAGAATTCGTTTGTAACATTCTTGTATAGTTACATCTAATAAATTTAATGAATCCTCAATATTTTCTAATGCAAGTATGATTTGGTTCGAACATAAATACTGATATGTTTTTGATAACCATTTTTTAAAATCAGAACCGAATGCTATTGATTGTTGTGCATCATCTACCAAAATTTTTGACCGAATCACTGATGCTTGTGAATAAAGTCCATCATCTGATTCATTTTCTTGCTTAGCTTTAACTAATGGTTGAAGATAATCCAGTAAATTTACGCCATAATCAATAAATTCTTGTTTTTTACATATGTCCTCATACATGTTATTATTGATTATTCTCAGATGAAGATCAATTGTACACTCTTCAATAGTTGCAATCAACTCATGAAGGTTTTGTGCTGGAACATACCAAGCCATTTGTTGTTGTCGATCTTCCATTGCCAGCATTGGTAGAGTAGTAAAAGATGTCTTATTTAATTCAGGATCCAATAAATGCTGAGCCAATGCTTTAATTAGAGAAGCTTTACCACCAACATTCAATATAGGATCAAGATAACTTCGAAAGATAGCTGGTTTTAAAGCAAATACTGGATCATGCTTATTCGAAACATATGTTCGCAATATACGTGCTGAACGTTTAATATTTTGATAGGATAGTTGATAAGATGTGATAAATTGTAATTCTTTTTCATTTGACAACTTTTTTGCTGATGCATGCGTTCGTAACAATGTATGCGCTAGTTCTTGTCCGCCGTTAATGCCTTGCAATTCTCCTTTAATGATATCAGCTAAATCGTGTTGAGTAATATTATCAAAGGCCAACGCATCATCTAATGGTTGCATTCGAATAATCAAACATCGATTTTTCCAAGCACTTGATAATTTATTCGCCATTTTTCGATTGTTATTAGCGATAACAAACAATCGAAAATCTTTATGTATTCCATTTTTACGACTATATTCTTGTGCTTCAGCGGATTCATATAAAGTTAATGTTGGATCCGCTTCAGCTAAAGAATTTAAACGTTCGATAACATCTCCGCGTGCACAATTAATATTATCTAATAGAATCCAATCTCCACGTTCCATTCCTTGTATTAAGGGTCCTTTATTAAAAGTAAATGTCAATCCTTCGCCAAGATTTTGTACTAATTTAAATGCATCTTCAATTTGATCGAGTGTATCTAAATATTTTTCGATTTCTTCTGCAATTGTTTCTCTATGTACTTCTTTCGAATGTTTTAATTCATGTTCCAAAAGTGAACGACATTGTTGAAAAGCATCTTGAGCTTGATCAGACTTTTCTACAAAATAAGGATACATTAAATACTTTGTGTTAGAATTTACATGTAATGATCTCGCTAAAATAGTAATTCAAAATCTAATATACATCTTTGTGTAGATGACAGTAAAGATTAGAGTAGTTATACAGTATGCCAGTGTCTTGCAGGATGTAGATATTGGATACAACATCCACAATCAATCATATGAATGAATTCAAGTGTCCGATTCATTTATGAACACCTCAATAGAATTCTGGCATACATTTGATGGATTCCAATACTCGAGTACTGGTGCATCAGATGCTCATTTATTAATTCCTAATCAAATGAGTGTCTCTCAATTAAATACTAAATCCACAAGTACTCTACGCCAAGATCCGACCGTTGCAGTGAATCTCCCAGACACATTCACATTGAGAGGAATGCTACGATTCAGTTCTTCAAGAAATATGGGCATTTTCTGACGCATTGATGATCTTATCTTCTATCTTGTGATAAACTATTAGTAAGAACAGACTCGAAAACTAACACAACGATCCACATCCATCTGTAAGAATCACTTACCGTGCTCCCATTGATGAATTAAACGTGTGATTGTTCGAATAAGTTGTTCGACCTCATAAAATTGTTGTGATAACGGTATTAGAACCGCTAATGCAAAACGAACAATATCACTAAGTAATTGTTCACTGATATGTTTCCGACGTTTTTCATATGAATGTTTATTAATCACAGTCCATGAGCCAAGTAAATCTGAAGTTGTTGTTTCGTGATTTAAATTTAGAACAAGTAACCGTCGTCCACATATTCGAGCTAATTCACAGACAAGTGCTGTTTTACCTGAACAATCACCGCCTTCGATTAAAACAGTTGCCTTACTAACTGTCGCTGCTGCTAATAATTGTAATTTTTCTAATGTTCTTTGACTATGAATTATAGGCCGATAAATTGATTGATATTCTTTCTTTTCAATATACACAAATCCAAGACGTGCACAACCCTGTAGATTTAAATCACTATCAATAAGTTCTTTACGATTATTAACTATCGTAGTAGTCGAACTGATATCCAATGCAAACTTTTGTCGAATCATCTCACGAACTAAATCTTGATCTTGAACATACTCAAATCGAGAAGCATAGACGATGTCAAGATAGACTTGTAGACTACGAATAATGTTTTGTTCTTCAATTTTACGTAGATTATCATCATCTACTGTATTTGTAGTTGTTGATGTGACTCCTTCTGAAAGATTCATATGAGCACGATGTGTAAGAGAATGTGCAGCAATTAATTTTGATAATTTTTCTATATCACGAAGATTAAAATCATATGGTCCACCCAGTCGTCCAATCTGTCGTAATCGAGCCTTTTCACTGATTTCATAATGAAACATATTGATTTTTTCAACTAACTGTTCTGTTAGATAACCAGCAACCAAATGCGGATGTAATAATGATATTGTAATAAACATCAGTTCACGTACTTCAAATGTAGATAATTGAACTTGAATAAAATGTGCTTGAGTTGATCGAGGTAATTTTTCTCGTCCACCACCAATCGATGCTGGATTCATAGCGGCTACAACAATTGAACCATCGATTGGAATTGATTTCGCTAATGCTGGTATGAACAATTCATTTTCATTAGCAAATAATGGCATCAATTGATTTAATAATTCTTTGCGTGCTAAATTTAATTCATCGAGTAGAATAACTGTATTTCGACGATTTGTTTTCAATGATGTATATAATGGGCCTTCTTGAAATTCAAATGATCGTTGACCATTAACAACACGTGGTACGAATGAGCCAATAAGATCTTCAAATGCTGTATTACTACTAAAATTAATACGAACAACCTCGTAACCTAACATTTTAGCTAAAACTTCGATAATCTTTGTTTTACCAACACCTGGTGGACCAGCAAGTAATTGTCGATTGGATGAATGTAATGAAAATATAATTCGTGATATATTATCTAAAACTGATTTTGTCAGAGCAAGAGGGAAACGAAGATTTTCCGGACGGGATTGTATTTGTGGCGCAAATGGTGCTATTAAATTATTTGACTTCAACCGTAAACCCCAATGTGCTCGTAATTGTTTTGTTTCTGTGTCGACTATTAGCATTTCTTCGACTGTACACCATTGACTTAGGTCTTTATAAACGCCTATCTTTTCAAGATTTTCATCAGTTGTAATAGAATCTTTTTCTTCACGTGCAGCACTATCTTTTTCATCTGGTGGCACAAAATTCTTTTTCAATTTAAATGCAGCAAGTACTTTTTGCCATATGGAATTCGATGAATGCTCTTTTGAAGTCGTTGATTTTTTTGGTTCAATAATTCTATCAAGAAATAAAAATTTAACACAAATAGCAGCTGCTTGTTCGATTGGCATATGTTCAAGATGTAAACGTAAACATTCACCAAATCGAACAAAGTGACGTGAATCTAACGAGTCAATTTTCATTGCTTGAGCAAGTTTTGTTGCAAGATCGTCAGCTAAAGTATTAACAATTTGAGCCATTTGATTTTCAATATGTTTATCAGCAATTGTATTCACTGCTGATTTCATTGCTAATTGTTTGAGTTCATTGCTATCATATGGTTGAACACGTATTTCTGTCATCCTTGAACGTGTTGCTGCACTCAGTTGTAAACGGTTTTCTGTTTTTTCATCGGTATGTACCGTAGCAAATACTTGAAATGTTGGCAAGATTGGAATTTTTGCGCGCTGTGGATTGATCTTTGTTGTTTTGGATTCTCGAGCAGTAAAATCTTCATAGAGAATAAATGATGGTTCAGTTTCGAATAAACTATTTAAACGTTCGATAACAGCTTGAGATGGTTCATTAATATCTTCTAAAACTAATATTTTCCCCTCTTTAACAGCACTTGTAACTGGTCCATCTTGAAATAAGAAAATATTTGATTTGCCTTGTTCAATTGCTCGCTCAATTTCAATAATTATACTTTCACAACGAACTTTCAGTAGAAGAACACCATTTTCATTTGATCCAATGCGACATATGTCATCAAGACCTGCAGTAATTATTTCAAGTCGAGTTTTAATTGATTGAAACGCTTCAGCAATAGAATTGGCTTTCATATCAAATGAAGAAGGCAAAAAATGCGCCGTTGATTGATCATCCGATTGTGCTCCCATAAAAAACTCTAAAAGTTTTTCATCATCTGAAAGTTGTGATGGTTGACCTGTGCTGAATGGATCAATTTCATCATCTTCTTCTGGTTTTATTAGAACGGCTGCAGAAGCACTGAAAGGATCAATCTCCTCTTCTTCGGAATGATTGTGAACTACTGTAAATGGATCAACATCAGTTTGATCATTGTCTATTACTGTGAATGGATCAACGTCGTCTTGATCATTCGCCATCATGTCGACTACGTGTTTAGTGGAATAAATTTTTTCAAAATATTCATCGTCATCGTCAGTGGAGTATTTTTTTATACTATTGAATTGATCTGTTGTTGCCGTCGACTGTGGAGGTAAATTACATATTGGCAGAGGTGTGAAATCATTGTTTTGACTTGACTCTGGATTGACGTTGATATCTTCCGATGTAACAATTGGTTCAGATGGTTGTTCACTATTTTTTGTTGTTTGATGTTTTCGAACTGTCTTTTTCTCTTGTTGTTTTTTGATTTGACTAATAAATTTATCAATATCATCAGCAAATGCATCACAATTTGTACGAAATTCGGTAAATTCGTTAAAATCTATTGCAGAAGCATTTTTCGATAGATTCTTTTTCGCACGCTCATAAAGTTGATTCAAGCAGTTCAATAATAAACTCAAAGCATCAGCAGTTGTATATGGTCTAAATAAAATATCGCTCAGTAAAAATACTAGTCATTTGGAATATGAAAAGTGTAACTTTTACGTCTATTACGATCTATAATAGAGGAGTATGTCGAAGCCATAATAACAGAGAAAATCCTAAGTATAAGTTCTGAGTTCACGATCCGTACGGATGTAGATGTGGTAAAATATTACAAAATCCTGACACACAATCTCAGTCATTCACATCCACTCATTCTTCATATCTAAGAATTTTAGTTTCTACAATTTCAGTCTTAAACCACTGGAACTCATACGCATTGAATATCGTTCCAAGCCTATATAACGCATGCTACAAAGTGTTTTTATTCTTGTCATTTGTAACTCAGAGCTCATACATATACACAACCTTAAACGGCTATTTTACCTAATCGATCCGATGAGGTCGTTTGTTTCGGTTGATGTTGAACAAGTAATTATACAGAGTTCGGATTCTTTTGCCATTAATTTTGACCAGATTTTGATCAATTCGGTTTTATAACAAGTTGGTCCAAGTAAAAGAATTGGCTCATGTTGTTCGGCAGCGGCAAATACACGCCAAAGTGAGAGCAACAAATTTTGTGACGCTGTTGCAGACGATAATTGTAAATTGATTGCTGCGTCGAAATTAGCAAATTTATATGATATTGGTAAACAAAGTGGACGAGTAAGTGATATTTGGTTACCCTCGATTTTAACATGAGATACTTGCTCGATTAAATCTGGAAATGATATTTTTAGACATCTAATAAACGCATCATTGAGTTTTTTTGGTACACGTGATTCTAATAATCTCAATGCATGTTCATCCCAATCGACATCAGTTTTTCGTTGTTTTCGATTAATCCATTTAATGACTTCACGCATTGTTAAACCAAGTTTTGGTGCACCTAAAAGTGGTTGTTGTTTCTCATCGATCTCTTTGTTCAAATTTGTAACCATTGATGCTATTTTTGGCGCGACTTTTTCCAAATCATCATCGAATTTTGCCGATGCTTTTGATACAGTTGATGTTGATTTTCGTTGGATAATTATATATTTAAGTTCGTCTTCAGTAAATGAATGAAATTGTATTTCTAAAAATCGTGAACGCAATGTTTTTGGTAATTGTTTTCGTCCGACATAACTCGTGCCATTTTGTGTTGCAAAAAAACGAAATCCATCGCGTGCCATTAATGTTTGACCAGTGTTTGGTACAGTAAGACATTGTTGACCTTCCAAAATTGGATACAAAACATTCATTACAGCTGGTTCAGCTAAATCAAATTCATCGGCAGCAAACCAATCTCCATCAAGCATGGCACGAGATAATGCTCCATTTAGAAATTCACCATTTTGCATATATGAACCAAAATAATCTTGTATGGTTGTACCTTTTGTATTATTAACTCGATATAGAATTTTATTATCACATTGTGCCAGATATTCAATTAAACTTGTTTTACCTGTTGCAGCAGGGCCTTCAAGAAGAACAGGACGTGAACAAATAACAGATGCACATAGACGTTTTGCTGCATCATGACGTGTCGGTGTTTTATCAGGATCAATAATATGTTCACGATGTTTTTCACGTACTCTGTCCGGAACTGAAAGATCAAAGAAATCAATAGAACCATGTTTTGCTTCTTTTTTCAAATATGATTTAACAGATGATATCTGTGCTTTTGTTGGATCACTATTAAAAACAAGTTCAAAAGCTGAAAGTAAAACAGATGGTAAATCTATTCTTCGTTCTGTTATAATTTTTGAATGTTGTAATTTAAATGCACAATCAATAAATTGAACTAATTGTCTTGGTGTTAATGGTTCCGAATGAAGTTTCTCACAAACAGAATTAATGAGTTGTTTTTCATTCGTTGGAAAATATGATTTAAACATATTTTTATAGACATCTAACGATGATAATTTTAAACCTTGATAATAAATAATTAAAAATCGATTATATAAAGCAGGTGAAAGCTCATGATTTGTTTCGATTGAAGCATTTTGTAATCGACCAGTTGGTGGAGACATTGTAGCAATAATGCGAAAATTAGGATTGACTGATACAGGTTCTGTTTCATTATTTTCTACTTTAACCCATTGAGGTGGTTGTTCAAGAACAGGATTTAAACGTTCAAGAACAGCTGATGATGCTTCAGAAAAGTTTTCAAGAATAAGCCAATACCCTTTAGTAATCGCTTCGCTTACAGCACCATCATGCCAATGTGGTAATTTTGGATGTGGTACGAGAGAGCCGACAAGAGCTGCTGGTTCGGTTTGTGGTGTTAAATATAAATGCTGGCAGCGGACATTTGTTAATGTAGCTATTGCTTGAACAAAATGACTTTTACCGCATCCTTCTGGACCGACAATTAGAATTGGTTGTGATGGTGATGCTGCTAAAATAAATTGTGCAATACGATTAGCTTCATTGTCGAGATAAAATGACGAATGAGCAGATGAAAGTGATGAAGCAGATTTTGAAAGATATGTTTCAGGTTCACTAAATTCTGCAGCAATATATTTGATGATTTCCATTCGCTGTTTTTCATCTCGACATAGACTTGTATACGTTTCAACAACTATTTCAGCTAGAGTCAAATTTTGAGAATGTCTTCTTTCTATCATTGACCAGAATAATGTATAAGAGCAATCATAAATCTGTGTTATATGTTCATTGTGAAAATATTTAAAGAAATGATTGTGAATTTTAATCATTTTCGTAATTTCTTGATTATTACTCGGTTTCCTAATATGTGATGGCCAATCGTTAAGAACACGATCGAGAGAAACTATTGGCATTTGTAATAATAAACGTTGTTTGGATAGAAATGCAACAGCATTGTTACTCGGACGATATTCAACCGATAATTGCGGTGATGGTATTGGGCTGACACGAAAGAGATTTTCAATAATTGTTTTAATTTGACTTTGACTCTGTTCTTCGCGAAATCGTAAGCCATAAATAGCATACGCTTGTTCAGTAAGAATTTGATTGAATATATCAGCAGCAAGTTTACTAACTGTTTGTGAACATTTAATCAACATCTTTTCATAATCACATAAACTTTGACACCAACGGAAAAGTTCACGTATGGTTATTTCAGAATAGTTTCTATTTCGTTCTTTGAAATCATTTTCTTTAGTGATTTCCATGATTTTCAAATGTAAATCTACCATTTGTGTAGTTTGAGTTGAAAAAGGAAATTTTTCATTTTTTAATTTATTTGTAACAATATCGACTAGTTCATTATTTTGTGGTCCTTCAACAATAAAAATACTGAAACGATTTAATAGAGCTGTTGATTGTGTATCACGTGCGTCTTTATATTTGCCTGCTGATGGATTTTGTGTTGCAAAAAGACGAAATTCTGGATGTATTTGATAGACACGACAATTCTGTTTTGCTTCATTTTGTTGTTCTTCAGCATTATCCTCATCTTCAATATTTGGTATTGTCAATACACCGGATTCCAATGCTTGTTCAATTGCTTGAAGAACATTTGGTGGTGCTAAATTCATTTCATCCAATAAAAGCCAATGGCCATTACGATAAGCTGTGGTAAATGGACCTTCTTCATAATCTAATTCAATTTCTTGTTGTTGATCGTTTGCACTTTTGACTGTTTTCAATTTAACTGAACCAAATAAACCACCAATATCAGTTTTTGATGAAAGATTGAAACGAATTAATGGTTTCTGAAGATCAGCAGCAACATCAAGTATAAGACTACTCTTTCCTACACCGGTTTCACCTTGTAATAATAAATGAATAGGTGTTCGTATACATTCAATAATACGTTGACGATTATTAAGCATAGTTTTTGTTTGTACAAGTGATGGTAATTGACGACGACTTGGTATTAAATGACGAAATTCATCTGGACATTCCCCAATTAAATTTCTTACTGTATCTAAATTAGTTGTGTCAGTTTTTGAACTATCATCAAAATTAGTTAATGATTTTAAATGCTGAGATAATGTTTCAAAATCCAATCGTTTTATCGTACGAAAAGGTATTTGAGATTTCGAACGTCTTTTCTCACGTTCTAAAAGGTGTACTGGCACAGTTTGCATTTGTGTAATTGACCGTTGTTGATCATTAAATAGATTTAACGGTGTTACAGTTGTCATATTGATATTTTCACTATTTGAATCTTGCAAACTTTGTAAAAGTTTTATAAGATCATCTGATTGCATATTTAATGCACGACCAACTAAACGAGCAATTGATACACGTATATGAGAATTTTTATGTAATAGACATTGAATACAAATAGGTAAAGATTGTTGAATGCACGTTGAAAGAAAAGTAAATGTTGATGATGAAATTAAATTCGTGGCATGATCGAATTTTTCATGTAATAATTCAATAAGTTCATAAGTGTACATGCCAATAAGTTTCATTATAGTTGATGGTTGTAAACAAAATGATGATTGCTCATCATTGGATGAAGTATATTTAAGGATTTCTTCATCATTTAAATTATCATTTGTTAATAATGTCAGCGTTAATAATTGTTTGAACCAATACTTAATTAAAACTTGTTGTTTTGATCGAAGTGCAAAATTGAATAATCGTGACATTTGTCTATACTCGACGGGAAGTAATATTGTAGATTGAATAATTCGTTGCAAATCATCTGTATTGATGGTTAATGTTTGCATGTTGATTTGATCAATCAAATAAAGAATAATTGATGTTGTGCATGATAATATACCACGACGAAATGTAAAATTCCAAACAAGTTGTTGGTCATTGTTTTGATTTGAAAACACCAGATGAAGAATGTGAATAATCGGCTGAATTGTTGTTGAAATATTAAATTTTTTCAGCTTTAATTGCCCATCAAATAATTTTTCTAAGAGTAAGAGAAATTCAAAAAGAAGTAGTGGATTTTTATCTGTATTAGATTTTATCAATGAAAGTAAAAGATCAAAGCTTGAGGCTACTTTCCAGTTATCAAATGCATATAGACGACAGTCTTTCAATAACTCATGCATATTTTCTTGTACGTAATTATCCTTCGTTTGTTGATCGACAATTTCTAATACAATTTTAATCCAGTCTTTTTTACCATTTTTAATCATAAATTTTAAAATTTGAAATGAATTTTCTATTGTTGGTTGAAATAATTGTGTAAATAATGATGTTTGAATTTGTCGACAAAATTCGATAAAATTTGGATTCATCTTTATTATTGACGATGTCAACCGATCAAGATTAAAATTCATTAAATTAACAAAGAATTGGAACCATACATGACGATAATCGAGATTTTCATTTTGTAATGATGAAATTTCACTTAAGTTCATAGTTAATGCTGTCAATAATGAACATAAATCATCAGGTGACCAATTCGATAATGGCTGCAGATATTCATTAAATAAACTTTCCTTAATTGAATATTTTTCATTATCGATCATAGATTGAAAAATTTTTCCAATAATTGAACATGATAATAACGGTTTAAGGCTTTCATCCGTTGAAATAGAGAATTCCTTGATAAATGTTGTAATGAGTTTTGTTCCTGTCTCTCGTATCTGTTCGTCTTCACGAGTCAAAAAATAGACAAAAAAATCTTTTACATTGCCATTTGCTACATCAAGATTAGATGTTGAAGCTTCCAAATATCCTGTAAATGTTTGATAAATTGTTTGTAATAGTAAATTCCAAAGTCCTTTCGTTTCTGTATCATCATTATCTTGCTGTTGAACATATGCATATTGTAATAATTTTGATATTGGTAATAAAAATGATGGTCGTGGGTGAATCGTATTTGCTGGATAGATGAATTCTTTACCATCTGTCCATCGAACTCTACATTCACTTTGAATAAGTTTAAATTCACCATTACCTGAATCTGGTAAATAGTCGAATTTATTTAACATTTGATTTTTAATTGATGCTAATTGTATATGAGCTTGTGTGCTGGTCTCATATGTTAATCGAACGTCTACTATGCGCAGACGTTGAACTGCAAATGATAACATCGATGATAAGCATTGATCTGCATTCAAAAATGATTGGAGTATAAATTGACAACGAAATAACTGATTTAAAATGCTTTCAAGAGCAGTTAATTCATCAGCATTTGTATCTTGACGCTTACTGGCTTTTTCAATAAATGAGTCAAATTGATTGGTGATATCAATTGGATACTTGGTGTTATCACACAATATGGTGCATCCTGGTGAATCTGGTGTGAATGGAAACTGTTTTCCAGATTCAAAACGCATTTTATTTGCTGTTGAATTTGAACTGATTGGTTCTCCGAGCCATATTGGAATTGTCCACTTGTCAATTCGAGTAAGAATCGAATTCGATCGATAAACATTCGTACGTGAAATAAATACGGCAATGGAAAATCGAAAGTTTTCATTGTTTGAGACTGAAGAATGTGATAATATTAATTCGAATAATTGGAAAAAATGTACCGAAAATTTATCATGTATTGAATAGAATTGATAACATGGAATAATTAATGTAGCAGTAATTAATGAAACAAGCGAAGCACCATCATCGCTTTCTGCATCATGGTGAGTTTTATCTTTCAAGTACTTGAATGCCTTGATGATGTTTGCATCGTCGTCTATTGGATTACCGGAAAAGTTTCGTAAGCGCTCCAGTGATTGCCGGATCAGTGAAGAATTTTCATTTAACGATCGAGCGAATGAAGAGCTCATTTCTCTAATGGTAGGGCTTGGAGCAGCGCTAGCACTTAAGCTCGCCGTAGAGCTCGCAGCCTGTGCCATATGAGAAATGTCAAACAACTGTGTGTTTGATAATAAATACTAGATTAGTATCTACAAAAAAAAGTGAATTAACATAAATTATTTCAGATACAACGGTAATCATCGAAGATGCAAGATAGAGAAATCTTGAGGATGTGGGTGTGGGTGGAAGTATCTATCTTTTGCTACACCCACACCCACACCCACACCCACACTCACAGAGGCCCGATACAAGCCGGTACATGTCGTTACATGCCGTTACATGTCAGTTACATGCCGTTACATGATTCATGAATTCTAGGTTTTTCAGGGGTATATATATGGATGCCTTGTAACAGAGGCCCGATACATGCCGTTACATGTCAGTTACATGCC